ATATATATATATATATATATATATATATATATATTAGTGCTGGGCAACGATTACAATTTTTAATCATGATTAATCGCATGATTGTCTGTGCATTATGCACAAAATTCAATAATGCATTCAAAAGTAGTGATTTTTGCACTTATTTCATTTAAAAGTACTGCTATATGAACAAAAGTGCAATAACATTTGGTTTGCAAACACTTTAAACATTTTCGGAGCAAAAAGGACCCGAACACCACATAAGGTGCTTTTTTACCGCAGTATTCCTTTTACATAGTAGCAGTTAAAATAATTATTGTAAATCTCAACTTAAACATTAATGTGATCAAATTAAATATAAAAACAAAGGTATTTGCTACTGCCAGGGCATAAACGTTTTTATAAAAAATATTTTATAGTTTGTTATAGAAAAATAAGTTATGCTCAGAGTCCAGAGCCTCGATCATAACATTATAACAGGACCCTTAGAGACCTGCACTATCGTGGGACCTAACGCAGCAGAGTGCGGCGTGGCACAACACTTGATGGGCGAGTGTGGGCGGGTAAACACTCGTGTGTGCGGGATGCGGGAGAATAAGGGTGTACTCACACTAGGCAATCTTAACCGTGCCCAAGCAGTGATGACACTCATCCAAAACCAGTACTGATCAACATCCCACCCCTCCTGTGACCCATGGTTTGTCTATGTGTATTCAGAGCCAGTGAGCAATGGACTTTCATAAAAATAAAAAACTGCGTTAATGCACGATAAAATAATAGTCGCATTAATCAATTAATGCGTTAACGCGATAATAACGCGTGAACTTCCCCGGCCCTAATATATATATATATATATATATGTATATATATAATACATACAGTATATATATATATATATAGCTTCAATTTATTGTAATTTTACAATAATTTTACAGTAATTTTAGTATTTCAAATTGTTTGTGAAACAAATCTGAAATAGTGCATATTCTTTAAGCAATAAAGTTGGAGGATGTTAAAACGCTAGCTAGTTGCTTTCATAGGGCCGGTTATAAACAACATACAGGGAGAATAAGGGTGTACTCACACTAGGCAATCTTAACCGTGCCCAAGCGTGTTTGATCCCAAAGCCCGGTTCGTTTGACTAGTGTGATCACTCTGTGCAGTGCTCGGGCGTGTTTCGTTCAGCCGTCCCTGGCTCGGTTGGAAGAGGTGGGCCAGAGCGCGGTTC